GGGCATGGTGGTGCATGCCTGTATTCCCAGCTATCAGGAGGCTGAGGCAGGAGAATCGCTTGAATCCAGGAGGTGGGGGTTGCAGTGAGCTGAGATCATGCCACTGCACTCCAGCCTGGGCAACAAGAGCGAAAGTCCATCTCAAAAAAACAAAACTGCCTGTCATCACTGAATCATGTGACATTTTAAAGAAAAAAGTCTTTCCTAGAGGTCTTATGAAAAGACACTTTTTCCTAGGAAAAAGCGTCTACCTCTAGGGGGAAGAGACAGATTTAATAGGCTCCAGGCTATCCTGGGAAAGTAGGAAAAAGACTGTAGCAGAGCTCAGAAAGGAAGCAAAGGGCCCCTCTTCTCAGGTTCCACTGGTTTGGGAAAATGCTGGTTTAAATATTGAGCCCTAGATTTGTTCTTTGTCTCCCTAGGATTTGGCTCTCCAGAAGGACCTGGAAGAATTGGAAGTCACTTTAGGAGACTAACCACATTTCACTGGCCTTCATGATGATGCTACTATTTAAGCGGGGGGTGGGGAAGGCTTTTTTCCTTAGACCTTGCTGAGATCAGGAAACCACACAAATCTGACTCCTGGGTCTGACTGCTACCCAGTACCATTCCCCATTAGTTAATTTATTCTAACCTCTAACCTAATCTAGAATTGGGGCAGTACTTGTGGCTTGGGTTTCTGTTATTCTCTCCCTTGAGTAATCTCTTGAAAAAAATCAAGATTCACACCTGCCCCAGGATTACACATGGGTGGAGCCTGCTGGTGACGTGGATGAACTTCAAAGCTATAGGAACAAAGCACAGAACTTGTCACTTTAATCTTTTTCACTGACGAATAGGCCTCAATACATATAGTCCTAAAATCATACCTTACCTACCAAGGTAAAAGGGATCAGAGTAGCCCATAGGCATTGCTTTCTTATCACCTATCATGTGAATTCTACCTGTATTCCTGGGCTGGACCACTTGATGACTTCCAGAGTCCTGTTAGCTTTTGGAATGACAGCAGTGGTATAGGGTTTATGATGCTATAAAACAATGTCTGAAAAGTTGCCTAGAATATATTTTGTTACAGACTTGAAATAAACCAAATTTGATGTTATCAGCTCTTTATTCTTACTTGACACCTCCATGATTGTTTCCACCTACAGAGGTTACTGCAGGCAGGTTATGATTAATGCTCTTTATAGTATATAAAATACAGGTATCAAGCTTATTTTTAGCCTAAACAAGGCCTATTGCCACTAAGCAGGTACTCCCTGCCCCTCTCATGTTCATTCTTAGGGCCACGAGCACAAACCCCTAAATCCACCTAGAAGAAAATTTAGATGCTTAGGCCGGGCGTGGTAGCTCATGCTTGCAATCCTAGCACTCTGGGAGGCCGAGGTGGGTGGAGCACATGAGGCCAGGAGTTTGAGACCAGCCTGGCCCACATGATGAAACCCCCATCTCTACTAAAAATACAGAAAAAAAAAAATTAGCTTGGTATGGTGGCACATGCCTGTAATCTTGGCTAGTAGGGAGGCTATGGCAAGAGAATCACCTGAGCCTGGGAGGCACAGGTTGTAGCGAGCTGAGATCATGCCATTGCACTCCAGCCTGGGCAACAAGAGCGAAACTCTGTCTCCAAAAAAAAAAAAAAAAAAAAATTGAGATGCTTTCATATAAGAACCAACCTCTTAATCCAGAATGTCACTGTGTCTTTATTACACTAACCCAGATTTTTTTTTTTTTTTTTGAGATGGAGTCTCGCTCTGTTGCCCAGGCTGGAGTACAGTGGCGTGATCTCGGCTCACTGCAACCTCCACCTCCCGGGTTTAAGCGATTCCACTGCATCAGCCTCCTGAGTAGCTGGGATTACAGGCGCACACCACCACACCCAGCTAAACTTTTTTGCATTTTTAGTAGAGACAGGGTTTCATCATGTTGGCCAGACTGGTTATGAACTCCTGACCTCAGGCAATCCGCCCACCTCAACCTCCCAAAGTGCTGAGATTACAGGTGTTAGCCACTGTGCCTGGCCCTCAGATTTATTTTGTGGTGTAGTAATGAAAGAGGACCTGAGATACACTCAATTCTAATAATAAAACATTCCTTTTTGGTCTAAAACCTAGATTAGGTGGGTCTGGGAATCCATGTGTCTCCAGGTGATTTTCCCAAAGAACAGGCAAACACAAAATTGCCCCTTACCAGAAACCCTCCCACTAAGGGTCTCAATAATGTCCTCGGGGGAAAAACAAGGTTACCCTGGTATTTCTGTCACCCGCATCCCTTTTCTCCCCCTCACCCCCTCAATACCTTTAGGAAGCTCTGGATGGCATCCTGCACAGTGGCACTGAGAGGGCTTTCAAGGAAGGCTGGAGCAGCTTTTTTTTTTTTTCCTAGCCAGCTCAGGTGAGACCTGTCACCAAAAGATTAAGGTGTGAATAAGAGGTTTTAAAGGTTTTTTTTTAATTAGGAATGCTGACTATTCTGTATGGAGAACAAGCGGCTTGGCCCAACCACCAATAACATGAGCATTCAGAGGAAAAGGTACCTGAACCAGATCAGGCTGAAAACCTTATTCTTCCTGGCAGGGATATCAGTGTCATTGGACACTTATGTTTTTGTTTTGTTTTGTTTTTGAGATGGAGTCTCGCTCTGTACCCAGGCTGAAGTGCAGTGGTGTGATCTGGGCTCACTGCACCCTGTGTCTCCCGGGTTCAAGCAATTCTCCTGCTTTAGCCTCCCGCGTAGCTGGGATTACAGGTGTGTGCCACCACGCACAGGTAAGTTTTGTATATATATTTTTTGAGATGGAGTTTTTTTCGCTCTTGTTGCCCAGGCTGGACTGCAATGGCACGATCTTGACTCACTGCAACCTCCGCCTCCCGGGTTCAAGCAATTCTCCTGCCTCAACCTCCCAAGTAGCTGGGATTATAGGCATGTGTAACCACACCCGGCTAATTTTGTAATTTTAGTAGAAATGGGGTTTTGCCATGTTGGCCAGGCTGTTCTCGAACTCCTGACCTCAGGTGATCCGCCCGCCTCGGCCTCCCAAAGTGCTGGCATTACAGGTGTGAGCCACTGTGCCTGGCCTCCTTATATGTATTAGTATCATAACATCATGTTGTACACCTTAACTGTACAATAAATTTATTTTAAAAACAGGAAAACATTTTGGATGGTCACTGAGCACTTTGGGTAAGATATGGATTGGAAGTGCTAACTACTGAAATGAAGTAAAGGGAAAAAAAGAGTCCCATAAACTCCATTTGGCATCTGGCTTCCA